TGTGTGTCTAGCATCCTTGAGAAGGCAGGGAATATTTGTGAGGGAGCATCGCCCTTGTCAGCCCCCACCCCTGTGGCTACGGGCCTGCCACAAACCCCTTTCTTTACGTGTGGTCCATTTCTCGAGTTTTGCAGCGGTGTGGGTCATAAAAAATGCAGCAGCTTTCTTTTGGTGCTCCCGAGATCCCACTTATTTACCTGAGGCAATTTTTGGCCAGTACATGCAGAACCAGTGACTCCAAATGCCTAGGTTCAGTTTCCTATCAAGTGGCCGGCTTTTTGCTGATTGAAGGATTATGCCCGGGCAAAGGTCAACTGTATGTTGCAATATGGCAGACAGCTATTAAGGCGAGACTTTCAGATAATTCCTGTGACGGTAGCGTATTGACAAATCCAGTGCTGGGGCATGCTACAGCCACAGCCTCATGGTCCGTCGCTGCCTCCCGCCTCTGGCTTGGGAATGGGGCCCCCTGCAACCCATTATCTGGGAGATGGAAAGAGGTGATGCTGAAGGGAGAGGTGAGCCATCAGATACAGAAAGTACTGCACGCCCAAGTGTGTTCTTTACCTGCTCAGTCACCTGGTCCCCTGCCACTGGGAATGAAAACGCCACACAGGGAAAAGGGGGGAAGCCCTGCGCTATCGAATGCCTGAGATGGGAGAAACAGGACCTCCTCCAGTTCCAGGCAGCTCGGTTCGGGGCATTAGGAAGGCTTCCACACTTTTGGCAGAATATTTGAAATGCAACATTTTTTGCAGGCGGTGGTAGTTATAAATGAAATCATGGCCCCGGTCACACGGAGCATTAGCCACGCTAGAGAGACGGAAGATAGGCGGATTTTCCGCCACATCTGGGAAGCGTAGAGCTCCCGTGGCTCAACCAAGGATTCCCGCCGAAGATGCACAGCAAAAAACTAGTACCTCGGAGGTACTAGTTTCCGGAAACCGTGGGGCAAGGGCAGGCGTCTGATCGCGTTTCCGGTGGCATCCGGCGCCCGCCCATGCCCCATTGCGAAAAGGTGGGGGGGTTTCGAAGTCTCCAGGGATGCGCACAAGCACCCAACGAGGCATGCGCATACTTCAGGTTTTAAAAAACAAAACACAACCCCGTTTGCCGCGACGCGACGCTTCTTTGTCACGTTGTGTGATCAGCACCTCCCCCCTAACCACAGGACCTCGACGGAACCGTTAGGGGATGCCTGATTGCGCAGTCGCGCGTTATTTCCATGCGGGGCAAACAGCCACGCCTCCCCCCCCCCCGCGATATCCGGCCCGTGTGACTGGGGCCAAGATTAAACGTTTGTGACAATGTTAGGCAGTTTTCATGACAGGGTTGATTGTATTGCATTGATAATGTACCAGGTTTGAATCTCCCCTCTTGCCATGGATATTTTCTGGGTGACATTATGCCAGTCACGCTCTCTCAGCCTAACTTATGTCATTGGGCTGTTCTGAGGAGAAAATGGAGGAGGGGGGAATGTCATAAGTCACTCAGGTTCCCCATTGGGGAGAAAAGTGGGATATCCATAAGGTAAATAAATAAAATAGATCTTGTTTTATTCTATTGGTTTTTTTTAATTTTGTAATCCAGTTTCGCTACAGTTCGATGCATTATTGTGTTTTATAACATTGTTCCCCAGCCTTTTCACCGAGTCTTAACACATTGTGTGTTGTCCGCAGGGCTTTTTTGTAGAAAAAGCCCAGGAGGAACTCATTAGCATTATTGGCCACACCCAACAGCAGAAACTCATTAGCCTATTAGGCCACACCCCTGACAGCACAGCACATTAACATATTAGGCTACACCCCCGTGTTACCAGAAGTGCGGTCATCCAGCCACACCCACCTTTTGCTTCTTATTCTGTTTACCCTGTTTGTTGTCAAAACCCAGGGCTTTTTTGTAGCAGGAACTCCTTTGCATGTTAGGCCACACACCCCGAATGTAGCCAATCCTAATGTGTTTCTGCTGTTGGGTGTGGCCTATTATGCTAATGAGTTCCTGCTGGGCGTGGCCAACTCAGGAGCCAGCCGGAACTCTGTTCCTGTGCGTTCCTGCCCAAAAATAGCCCTGGTCCGTATTGTATTGCATTTTTGAAAAACTGTGTTACTCCTCCTTGAGTCTCAACAAGAAAGGCTGAAGTGAAGAGGAAGAAGTAAAGAGGTTTCCACCAATGAGGGAAAGGCAGTTTGGGAGTAAGAGTTGGGGCAAGAAATCGGGCAAGGGCTGAATTCCTCTCCTCCCCTCACCCAATCCCTTAA